TAATACTCAGTTCAATTACACATTTTCTGACTGCAGTTCAATTACTCATTGTTCCGTCACGTTGTAACCGTCTTATATACACCAGACTACCCCCAATCTAGTAGTCTCCCGACAATTCACGAAGGAACAGGATATTTCTAGAAGGAGGTGGCGTGATACTAGTCACATGACCTCGCTGACGCAACAATATGAACTTCCAGTAGAAAATATTATTGTCTTCCTTTACACAGTGTGTTTCGCTATACAGCTTTCTTTCCCACGAGAATACACATGTGGAGTGATAGCAGACATATATAGAGTGAAAGGAATTTAACCACATTCCTTGACACAGAGCGTGAAACGTATATGTGCAAATCTTTTGAAACTTGTTGGTGAGTATGAAATCATCACATTACTAAATTCATGAAAAGAAACACTAAATATGCTTTGTGTACTACACTTTCTTTATTAATCTTCATATAGAATATAAAACTTGACGTTGTGTTGGAGTCACCTAGGATTCCCAAGTGAAGCCCCATCAATCTCTTACACTCAATAGCAGATCAAAAACTGGAGATCATGTCTCCATGAACAATGGACCTAGAAGAGTGCTCCCACTAGACTTTGCCACATTCTCGGATTTAGTCCTCACTATCACCATAGTTCCTTCATTTCAAAAAATTTCTTTGCATAAAAACATAACTTATAAATGTTACTGTACCAGAAAATCCACAGAAAGTGTAGCACGTTCAAGATAACCTTTGCAATAATTATTCTATGGTCATGGTGCCACAATTTACTTTTTCACTAGTCTGTGATATTCTACTGCACTGATATCTATTTAAAGTATTCACAGAGCACAGACTCGGGATTACTAAGCAAAGAATATATTTAATACAGATGCCAAAGGAAAATAACTAAATACAAGTGAACAAAAAATGTCTATTCACAAACTCTTTACACTAAAATAATATCCAGCTTAACGCCTGGCTTCTAATCTGATTGAATGTTTCTGGTTGCTGAGGAGAGAGCAAGATTGAGAGCTGAAGGCAGAGATCCAAGAAAATGGAGGTCCAAAACAACAACAAACAAAAAACAAACAAGAACCAGAATGATAGAAATACTCCACTTTTATTGTCAGACCTAAGCATGGATATATTATTGCACAATCATTAGTTTATATACCTCTATCATAGTTCTACATACAAAATATAAATGATTCCCAACAGTTTGTATGTATTTCTATATCATTTGTTTTAACGGGCTAACTTCTAAGACAGTCTATACAGAAGCACGTATATGACAGCTGGAGACTTATGAGCCAAGACTTTTGTTCACATCATTCCGTCAGTGAAAATATTAGTACATATTTATGACCTTCCAACATGTGGTTAACTATGTGTAGCAACAACATGGAAATTGATAAAAATGATTTTAATATGCCTGATAAACATATTTATTTGTATGTAAAGTGGAAGTGCTGTTTATCTATGTGCCTACCTTTTATGCCTACACTTTTTGATTGATCTCAGCTAAACTTGATACACACCCTGATGTCCCCCTAGGGAGTAATAGTAGAGTAGGGTGGGGTGGCATTCAGATCTGATTACTTATGTAAGTTCCCCTACCTCTTCCTAATGCTGTTGGAGTGAGAACTAGGCAAGAACTTCAGAAGTTGTGTGACAAATGCTTACCCATCATATGAAGACCATTTGCCTCAATCTGCTACTGGAAGTGTTTAGGTAGCAGACGATGGCTGGTGGTAGGAAACATGCATGTTGTCCATCAACTATTACTGTTGTAGCCTGTAAATCTCAGCTGGAAAGGTCATGGAACATATAGTTCAAATAATAATGTCATTATTAGAAAATTTTGGTGCAAGTAACCAATCCCATAATGATATTGTTATTTGCATCATATTTTCTGTGGGCCTTACTGCTTCGGTGAAATTTACAAGCTTATGGTGGCTGTAACTACGGGAAATGTGTGTTTGGTTCTACTAGCTATTGCAAGAGAAGCCCTATATCGTTTCAAGCACAACTCTTTTGACAGGATATTTCTGCATTAGCAAGGTTAAAATGACAACCATGGTAAGTCTTCATTGACATTCAGAATGAATAAGACTGACAGAAAACATAATAACAAAGTTGTATCGAGAAAAAATAAACTAGTCTTAATTAAGAAAGGACTTGTATCGCTGAAGTTCCTCGGAAAGAATTTATACCGGAAATTAACAAACAAGCAAATACGTAACAGACTTTCTGAAATATTTATCTGCGAGGGTTGTGAGACGTTTTCTGACGTCAGGAATGTCGCCTGCTTTTTCTAAGTATGCGTAAGGTGTGTATTTTGGGGGTCTATATGCTATTCTGATTGCTAGATTTTGTGGTTTTTGTATAATATTGTACTGAGTTTGAGATGCGTTTGTTGTCACCATGCTACCATATTCTACTAAAGGGCGAATGTATGTTTTATAAATTTTCATTATTGTTTTCGCTCGGCAACCTTTAATTATGTCTCCTATCTTCTTTAAGTAATGGATGCGTTTGTAAACTTTAACTAACGCTGTTTTAAAGTGGTCTGACCAGGTTAATTTACTATTGTATGTGACTCCTAGAAATTCTGCAGTTCTGGAGAATTTGAGTTCGGTGTCATTTAATTTTATTTTAACTTTCGGAAGAGATTTGTTTTTATGAGAGATCTTTCTGTTAAATAATATAGCTTTGGTTTTAGAGGCGTTCAGCACTACTCTCCATATATTACACCAGTTTGTTATAGTTATAAGAAATGTTAACCAATTTTTATAAAGAAGCCCCCCAGTAGCACAGCGGTATGTCTGCGGACTTACAACGCTAGAATCCGGGTTTCGATACCTGTGGTGGGCAGAGCACAGATAGCCCATTGTGTAGCTTTGTGCTTGATTACAAATACAAATTTTATAAATATAAAAATAAAATAACGCAAAAGGTGATGGGAAATATAGAGAAAATGATAATCTGAGTAAATATAAAACCTGACGAAGAGCGTTATCGTTAAATAAAATAATAGTTTTCCTTTCTGGACGGGACGTGTTTTTTGAACTACTTTTGTGTAGTGAACTATGTATAAAACGCATTGCAGTATGGCGCATGCGTAATTGATATACCTTGTTCGTCGCCATTGTAGGTGGAAGGAGGAGGAAGTACTACTGAGTACTATTACGAAGAAAATTAAGATTTCTGAAATTACGCAGACTTAAATTAGGCTAGAGAATTGGATGAAAAGTTCATTATATGATAGAAGACTAATTTACAACCAAAATTTTGAGGGTAAGGTGTAAATAAACTTATCGCAAATTAGCTGTTAAAGTCTTTGAATGCAACGACTCGAGTATCAAATACAATTTAGGCTGTTGTTGTTAAGTTTTACTGTGTTAGGCTATACCGTCAAGCCAGTGCAGTACAAAACTGCGTGTCTATCCCGCCATTTTGTATTAATCATTACGCGACAAAAGTGGTTTGAATCTTTAAAGTTTATTAAATTTGCCAGTTCTTCTTATTGACAGCGAAGTTAAAATTCAAATAAAACAATAAAAAACTAATAATCAGTGTTGAAAAATTAAAAATAATATGTTAATTCTTACGACAAAAATATGATTTGTAAATAACTTAAAATTGACACTGACCAGAAATTATAATTCACTTATTGCATTTAATTCACACCATAAGAATCGTTGTTCATGAATATTGAGGATGTAAATAACACCTAGACCATTACTATTAGTAACGTACAATGTGGCATGCCACATTCCATTCCCAGCTAGCTTGATCATGGTATTGAGTAAAACCTAAAGGCCTTGGCAGTACTGGATGTGGCAAATGTAGTGTATTATTATTACATATTCTTCTTTATTTTCACTCATAAGTGCTTAGAATTACTAATATAGTTTTCTTTCATTGATACTCTGGTTGCTTGATATGCTCTGGGAACATAAAGACCAGCTTGCTGTCCAACCAGATCTGAATGATACTCATTTGATAGTAAAGTTAAAATTGAAATAAGTAATTGATTTTAGAAATAATAATAAAAATAAATAATATTGCATTATTAATTCTTACACCCCCCTCCAAAATATGATTTGTAAATGACTTAAATCGATTAAAAATTACAGTCCACCCACCTAATCTACTTCATACAATAATATTAACAGTTATTATTTATGATAATTGATGATATAAGTAGCACCCACATAAACTACTACCAATACTATGTCTGTTATATTCCAGCCAGGCTGATGAGCCTTGGTATTACTATTAATTAGGATCTCATTGGCACTGAATATGACAAATGTAGTTTCACTCGTAAGTTCATAGAATTATAGTGTTATAAATAGTTAAAACGTACAAATTTTATCTAAAATATTTAGCTGTTTTTGGAAATATATAGGGAATATGTTGTGTTACAACTTACAGTGGAATAAAAATGTAAATCAGTAAATGGTAGAGCAGAGACTAGGTCTTTCCACTTCTTGTAGAGTTAACTTACTGCTATATTTTTGTGCTACATACAGCAAGGTCACTTGCATTTAAATACTAAAAGTAACACTAATAGAAATACAGCAGATGAATTGTGATTCCACAGTCATATTTCATCAAGTACTGTAATTACTAATAGTGGAAGTATGCTGTATACGACTGATTCTACTAGTACTACCCTAGTGGGTCTACGTTGGTTAACTTTAAATTTAGTCATTTTCTGCTCTTTATGAATAAAAAAAATACATTTTCACATGTACTGTAGTACTAGAAAATGTATCAATATATATTATGATGCCATCAGTCATTTTTAATTTTTTATTTGTATTCTATTCTGAAGCTTTTGTTTTCCATGCCCTCATTTCAATCTAAATCCACTTAACACAATTTTAATTATCACACCTATTTTTGATGTCGCCCTTATGAGTTATATTGCATCAGTGATATCTGTTGTAATGAAAGCTGTTTGAAGAGTGCAAAAAATATATTTTGGGTAAAAAAAATAACTAAGTACATCACAATACCTATTTGGAACTTCTCTTAATACTGCCTGTGAAAATGTACCATTTGATTTGAAAATTTATCTGAAAACTGATTAGTTAAGATGAATACTAAGAATACAGTAAGCTATGTGAAATGAGAATTAACATTCTCTACATGTATTTGTTACATTCAGTCTTTATCGGCAAGTGCCTGAATGTTTATTTAAAAACTTTTTCTGCTACAGCTGTTGTAAGTTTTACACTATTCCTGTCAAACACTTCACATGTAGCAAATTTAATGTAATTTGGTAATGTGGTAAAATGTGCCATACATTATTGCATAGCATCAGGAAAATTTAAGTTTTTGGACCTGTAAGACAATAGATAATCTGGTTGCAAAGTTGTGTTGCCTTCACTTTTCAAAATAATCATGAGAATTCTGTATATCATAGAATTTTCAGTTTACATGTACTGTAATTACTACTGTTGGATGGTTTTTAAAAGAAATTTTCATAAGTACATGATAAAATGAATCAAAGATAACTCAAATTATGGTTATTAAGTGTGAAATTTTTAAAGATTACATTAGTAGGAAATGTTAATGGCATGGTTTTGAGCTGTAACAGACAAATCCATGCACTACAACACTACATATAAGGTAAATATGCCCATCATAAGGCTACTATTTTGTATTAGAAGTCAGCCATTTATTTTGTTGGTAATTCTGTAATTTAAAAGTAAATACTAACATAAAAATATTGTCTTGGTTCTCATTTTGTTTCCAGTGGCTAAACGTCACATTAACATAAATTCATGTTTATGACATCAAATATGGAGTAATGAAATTTGTTCTCTCAATGGCAGTAATCGCTTCCTAACATAGTTCTGGTATTTCAAAATATTCTTAAGCTAAGAACAAAACCAGTGTTTTCCTATTGTTTAATTTTGAAATACTTCTAGGGTTTTTATGAAGTTACATACTACTATATATAATATCAAAATAGTGGGACTAACCCCACAGTGTACTTATTCAAATTGTCTCTTACCTGAGATGAACACGTATATACATCTATGAAAGCTTACATTGTGGAGATAACCACAAAGCTTTTTTTTTCCCCATAATTAAAAAATAATATTTTGGGCATATAATAGTTACAGCAAATGACCAAGCATTGAATTAATGTAATAGGAAAAATTTTGATTTCTGTGTGAGAATTACAGTGATTAAAATTTATAAATTTTAATTATTTTGATTCTCACACAGAAATCTGAATTTTATAGTTGTTCAAAACAATGTCCATTCAGAATTGTTCCTATTATGTTAATTTTGCTGAAAACTCATTAGTTAAAATTAATACTAAGATGACAGTAGGCTATATGAAATGGAAATTCACATTCTGTACATGTATTTGTTACATTCAGATTAACTTCTCATAAAAAGATTTTTTTTTTTTTTTTTCATTTTACACATGCTAATAGTGATATGGATGATGAAGCTGGAATCTTATATAGCTTTAAAATTATTGATTTTTCACTATTTAACCAATGGATCTTTACCCTATCTGGACTGGTCAGCACCTTTCAAAATTTAAATAAAAATAATAATTCTGACTATTTCAACAGTTCTTTACTCAAAAATATTTTGAATTGATATTATGTCAATCTGTAACAGTTATTTATTGTAACTTAAAAAATATATAAAAAACTGTTTAAACTTGCTTTTATGCACAGTCCTGAGGAGTCTTGCCATTAAACATCTCAATTTATTTAGAATTTCTATAAACATCCCAAAGCATAGATTTATATTTGCTATGGATCTACCATCCCTTGAGAATTTAATACTGTTTTCTTGATTTTCCTTTTCTATCTGATTTGATTAGTACAGAGTAAAGGTGGGTGATTAATGTAATTTGATAATTGATTAATTGTTCTCATTAATCATTTACATTCAGCTAATTTTATATTTCCATTAGACTTGGCTAGTTGGAATAATCTAAAATAGTAATAATTGGAAACAGTAATTGATTAAGCTTTACGAACCTGTACTAATAAAAAATGAGAAGTCATAATTGCATTACTTGATTTAGGTGATTAATTGGAATAATGAAGAACTAATAATCAAAAATTAATTTCAAGTAGTAATATTAAGTGATTTAATTGTAATTTTGGTTAATTGATTATGTGATGATGTACTTGCATAGGTAATGTTACACTGATTAATAAAGTTAATTGCCGAGCTTCATGGCAGTGTCTCATTCACACCATTTTATGACCTCCCAGTATATGATCTGAAAAATCACAGAAAAATGAAAGTGCTTTGAAAATATCTACAGACTAAGTTTCAACACACTGATAATAGGGATTCCCAGATAATTATAGTTTTTAGCCACGGAAGTGTCTAAGTGTGAAGTTGCAGTTGTGAATATATAAATCTCCCATAATCAAAAAACGAAATTATTATGCACAAAACAACAAATGAAAGAAGTCTACAGTACTATTATATGCTGAGTTTGCACCATTTATTTCAAGGCATTTGTATATTCCAACTAGTTGTAAAAAAGCCATATTAAGATCACCATGATTGATGTTTGTCTGCAAAATTCCAGCTGACGGCAGGTAAAAAAAAGGGGGGGATTGAAATTAAGTAAATGATACATTGCTTTGACAACAGTTTGCATTACATCATAACAGATAGTTCTATCAATCATGAAACCAATGTTAATGTAAAATCTCTCCTTTACTTTAATTGGTTTGATTGTTTCATTTCATTTATCAATATAATATAAATTCATGCATATAGGTTTTGAACTAAAGTATTTTGTTAAGTATACAATTTATCTCACCTTGTCAAGTATCGTGCAATGTCACAAATTACCTGGTAAAGCAATTTTATTTGCATTGTTTCAGTTAGATGTTTGTGTGGTATAAAATGTCAATTTACAGGTAGGATTATTAATAGTTTTTCATTAATTATTAACTACATAATTCAAATTGCAATGTAAATCTACTAAGTTTTTACTGTGGAATCTAATGGTGTGTCATGTTTTTGCTATTTAAAATTTAACAAAACCCCATACTGATAGGGCAGATTATAAACTATTTACCTCAGTGTAGTGAACAAAGTGGTGCAAGAAGTAATTTGTGTTTTTTGTGAAAGTGGTTATATGTAGATACTACAGAGAATAACAGAGTTTAGAAGTGTTGGTAACAAATAACAGATCTAGGATTTTTTTTAGAGGCTCTTTTTCATTTCTGAAAATGTTTGTTAAGTTATATTTGTGTGAAAGCTTTGAAAAGTTCCTGTATTACAAGGCATAAGGTAAGCCTAGTTATGTTTAGAGATTACGTTGGGTGATGGCAAAATATTCCAGTGACTCAAATCCTTATTTATTGAATGTTATTTTTAAGTCTATCATATTCAAACAATCTATATAACTAGAATTTATATAATTAACCAAAAAAGGATTTTAGGTTGTATCTACAAAAATATTGAATACAAGTCTAAAGAAGCTATACTTTTATTGTACAGGTCACAGGTTAGACCACATTTGGAATATTGTGTTCAGTCCTGGGATTCTTACTTTAGGAAAGACATTGAATTCTTGAAAAGGTTCAGAGAAGGGTTACTAGAATGGTGCCTGGGATGGAGGGGTTGTAATACAAGGAGAGGCTGAAATCTCTAAAATTGTTTTCTGTTGGGAAAAAAAAAAGTTAGGGGGGATCTTATTGAGGTATTTAAGATTGTAAAAGGAATTGATAGTGTTGATGCATCATCTTTTTTCAT